TTTATGCAACAGGAATATATTAGTTATAATTTGGAACTTTTCCCTACTGACATGTTCTGAAAGATTAAAAAGGGAGTCTCTAAGCTTTAGGAACTTTCATAATTGTGGTCTACATAATATTAGAGATGGAATTACTTAAATAATTCTCTCTGAGCTACAATTCAATTTCCTGCTTGTAGTAAACATAGGAAGAAAACAAGATCTATGTAATAGAAGTGCTCTTATTGTCATGACAACAGGAAGAAGCAACAGGAGGAAGACTCTTAGCTGTTAAGAATGGTCTGTTACAAGGTGTCAGGGCCCATTAAGTATGGTCAATACCCTGTCCTCCATTTACTTTTGCCTTTACACAGCTTACTTACTTCACTGCTGCAAATGTAATCCAATTTTCTCAGCTGCACATTAGCCTCAGGAAAGGCAAAGCAAATTTTGAACAGGGCTCTTCATCCTTTCCTGGAGGTAATACATTATCTGTTCATCTTGAAAAACTGCCCAATGACTTCTATCTCCTACACTAATATATTTTTTTGCAATTTATTATGCCAGTATCTCTGAGTTTGTTCTTATTATGACTCGTAAGCTCATTATCAAGTAACAAAAAAATAAGTGGATTACAAGAGCCAGACCAGGAATAAAATGAGAGCGTGGAGATGAACAGGGCAGTGGGATCAACATGGCAGTGACGCATCTGTTCTGCCAGCCCAGTTTCAGCCCCCAAAACACCAGCTTCCAGAAGTACTCTAACATTGGTGATCCCACAGATGTGCATCTCATAATAATGGGCAGTTGGCAGGTTCCTGACAAATGGGATCCATTGGATGATTTCTTTAGAACAGTCCTTCCCAAAGTGTAGGCCTCAAGCCATGGACATCAGAATCCCCCAGCATGCTTGTTAAAAATGCACATTTTTAAGTTCTATTCCTGATCTGCTGAATCAGAAATGCTAGAGGTTGACTTGAGGGATTTGATTTGCTAAAAAGCTCACTGAAATTTGAGAGTCATTGCCTTAGATCAAAGCTTGAAAAAAAAATTGAGGCAAGTCCCCTCTGGCACTAAGTACCTAAGAAGGGCAGAGGAGGTTGCATGCTAGGTGAAAACAGGGAAGCAGACAAGCTAAAGATGAAGCTTGCCTATTTCACAGCTTTCCTTAGGTTTTACCTTGGTTTTGACTGCTGGAGATTTAAGCCAGACTAAATGATACTATAGGTGCAATCAGAAAAATTTGTACTGCTGTTTTGTGAACTGCTTTATTTAACAAACAAATGCCCCCCCCAAAAGGAGGGGGGGCACCCTTTAGATTAAAAGAGATTCAAAAGACATATGAGCCAAATACAATGTGTGGATCTTATTTTTACCCAATTTTTTTAAAAAACTGAAAAGAAAGCAATGTTTGTAACAACTGAAAAAATTCCAACACCAGGTGGATATTAAATAATTTTAAAAAATTATTCATTTTATTAAATGAGATAGTGGTATGTATTTATGTTAAAAAGAAAAGACTTTATGTTTTAGAGGTATAGATTTAACTGTTTGCAGATTAATATGATCTTTGGTGTGTACTTTAAAATAATCCAGTGGGGAAGTATGGAGGAAATAGGAGGTATAAATGAAATAAAATACATGTGTTAATAATTATTAACGCTGGATGATAAGTACATAAATATTCGTTATAGAATTCTTGTTATTTTGGGGAAACTTGAAAATTCTTCAGAGCCACAGGCCTTTTCATCAGGGGAATGACAGATGAAATGGGCATTCTAGGGAGTCAGCCCGGGGGTAGGAAGACCAGCGAGGGGGCTGTCAAGGTAGGGCGTGGTGCACGACAGTGCCACTGGGGGCAGAGGGGAGGCCAGAGCGTGGACAGTATTAGAGATAGAAGCAGTAGAACTATTGAAGGAGGGAACTAAAGAAGGAAGAATCAAGGAACAAGTTTCAGGCTTGGATGAATGGCTGCATGGTGGGGCCAGGCAATAAGTGGGGGAATTCAGAAGAAATTAAAGTTAGGGGTGAAAGGAGCAATGGATTCCACTTCAGATACATTGAGTTTGAGGCACCTGTGGAACATCCTGGTTTAGGAAAGAAGGTCTGCCCTAGAGATATGGTTTTGGCAATTATCAGCCACAGAATAATTTCCATGGAAACATGTAGAGTGTAGGCACAAGAAAACACTCCCTAAGCAAGCACTTCCTATCAAATTAATAAATTCCTCTTGGACTGTTTTAACATTGAAAAAACGAAGCAGTGGCTTGATGAGGGAGAATGACATAAGAGAACAAAATGACAACATATGATACCCACGCTGTTCTGCGTCCTCTCGATTTCCATTTGGAATGTGTGATAGATTATCAGGGTTTAACTACATAGGGTTTTCTTCTTTCATTTTCTTTCTCCTAATAAAGGAGTTTTCAAGAGAACATTGGGCATTAAAAAAAGAAAATCTCATGTGGAAAATCAATTTTTGCTTTTTCTTTTTTACCCTTTCTTCTATTTTGTTCTCTTCTATGTTGCCTATGACATTACAAAAATTGAAGGAAACCACTAAAACCATCTAAATCGAGGGCCACAGTTCATTTTCCTGTCTTTAAAACAGCCACGATTGGGTTGAATTCTTGGGTTGACAAGCGTATTTAGAAGGAGCCAGGGAGCTGCTGAACTAAAAAAAGTGTTTTATGTCAGGGATTGATTTATACCTTGGAGCAGGACAAAGAGAGAAATACTCAGCCCTGTGATATCTGTTGCTGGGAAGGCGTCATGATTTGTTGTTGGTGGGAACTTGAGGCCATCTGCTATCCTTTAATGAAATGTGGTCATAACATTTTTGTTTGAAACACAGAATGATTTACCAACCCAAAATTAAACGTTTTTAGCAATTGAGGGTCTTGCGGAGTTTTTTTTTAGGGGTGGGGAGAAGGTGTTGTTTTGTTTTTTAGATATTTGTATCTTTAGGATTTATATTCGAATAAGAAGAAAAGCATATCAGTATCTATTTTTTTGTTCTGGGTTTATTCTCAAACTCTTTTGTTGACTGCCCAGTTCGAACTCCTGCCTCCTATTTGAAGACTCCCTAATTTGGCCTCATCCAAGACCAATTGAATCAGAAGTTTGGCAGGTTTGACCCACGCATCGGGTTTTTTTAATTTTTCCCCATGCAATTTTAATGTGCAATCAAGGTGAGACTCCCTCTGGCTGAGGAAAAATAACTGGGGCATTTGGATTACCTATCATGACAAGCAAATGTCGGAAATTAAAGTTTTTCTGAGCCTCAGATGGTAGCTGTGGTGTGTGTGTGTGTGTGTGTGTGTGTGTGTGTGTGTGTGTGTGTGTGTTTGTGCGCAGTTTGCATTACCCTTCTCTGCCCTGCCGTGCAGGTGACTGCCGTGAGGGTGTATGTGAACAGTTCCTCTGAGAATCTCAACTACCCAGTCCTTGTTGTGGTTCGCCAGCAGAAAGAGGTGCTGTCCTGGCAGGTCCCTCTGCTCTTCCAAGGACTGTAAGTGGATTTTTTTTTCCAGACAGCTTCACTGCATTTGGTTTTCTTCAATGTCCTAGAACTTAACTGGTCTTTTTTCTAGTGAAAGGAGAAAATGGACATTTGAAATGTTGAGATATTATGCATACAGCATGCAAAGTGCAAACAAAGGTCATGGCGTGTGCCCTGACCTGTTCAGCTCTGTTTGATTTCCATCCTCTTGAATTTCAGATAAGCACCCTACCTAGATTTGCAACACCTAGAAGAACTTTAAGCATTTTTAAATTCTACCATAATGATCTGGTAGCTCTTGATTGGATAATGGGCCATCCAATGGGCTAGGCCCAGCAGTCAACATAAATGAGTAAGACCTCCCTCATTCTTTGAAATGTTCACCATATGTGCACTCTTCATTCAATAATATTTATTGAGCACTACTAAGTAGTAGGTGCTGGGGATACAGCAGTGGAAAAACAACAAAGTCCCTGCCCCGATGAAGTTTTTACTTTCTCAGGGGAGAACTGTATAAGGCACTATAGCACCAATGAGAAAAACCCAGAAGGCAAACAAAATGGGCACATATTATGGGGTTACATCATTTTTAAGGGTTAGGGAATTTGAGGATTGAAATAATGACCTTGATAGCTTTGACTGGGACTTGAGGGCTTTCTTTACCCTCTATTTTAGCAAAAGTTTGAAGAGTGGAAAAATGGAATCAGCTGGTTGTTTTATCAGGACAGTTCCCCTTCAAAATTTGATATTTTTTCCTCACTGAATTAGGAGGATGGCTTAGTTTAATGTAGACACTGCTTAAGTGAACCGGTCAGCACAGAACAGTCCTTGTGTCCCTGTTGCCACATCACACAACTCAATGCTAACAACGCTAGTTGCATCAAGAGGTCCAGTCTGAAATTTAAAACGTAAGAACTTGAAAACAAATTTAGAGATAGGCTTCCCTGCTCGTTCATTGAGTCTCTTTCTTGTTCTTGCTGATTTTTCCCTCCATGGGCTCCTACAGATACCAGAGGAGCTATAACTACCAGGAAGTGAGCCGCACCTTATGTCCCTCAGAAGCAACCAATGAAACAGGACCTCTGGAGCAACTGATATTTGTAGATGTAGCATCCATGGCACCACTGGGTGCCCAGTACAAGCTGCTGGTCACCAAGCTCAAGCACTTCCAGCTCCGGTAAGCAGGACCCATGGTGGCTTTTCTCTGTTTACTTCTCTGAGCTTCAAGTCAGTGTCCATCCTTACAGATTACCGTTCTAGAAGGAAATTATCTACTTAGCACATTATTTTAGCACCTGCTGTACTTTCCTGCCCATAACTATCTATGCAATAGGGAGGTGGTAGGGGACTGGTGCAGAGGGTAAGAGCAGTTGACCTCATAGGTGAATCTATTTGGGGGGATCTATATGTGGGAGGCGCCTGTCCGGTCTGTAGTCCAGGCAAGAATTACTGGTGACTGAATACTTTTGTAACTAACCAGCATTACACTCTTAGAGGAAGTTTTGTTTTAAAGAAGACTTTAAGCTATTTTTCCTAAACTTATTACTATCTCGGTTTTCTCTTTCCAGGTTAGGAATGTGACTTTGTCCTTCTTTGAAGTGACTAGTGTTACTTTTGTTCCCGTTTTTTTTTGTTTTTTTTGTTTTTTTGAGACAGAATCTCACTCCATTGCCCGGGCTAGAGTGCTGTGGCATCAGCCTCGCTCACAGCAACCTCAAACTCCTGGGCTAAAGCAATCCTTCTGCCTCAGCCTCCCGAGTAGCTGGGACTACAGGCATGCGCCACCATGCCCGGCTAATTTTTTATATATGTATTTTTAGTTGTTCAGCTAATTTCTTTCTATTTTTGGTAGAGACGGGGTCTCGCTTTTGCTCAGGCTGGTCTTGAACTCCTGAGCTCAAATGATCCACCCACCTCAGCCTCCCAGAGTGCTAGGATTACAGGTGTGAGCCACCATGCCCGGCCTTGTTTCCGTTTTTTTAAAAAAATAAAACAAACAGGCAAGGCCACTGAAAAAATAGGGGCATGAGACTTGGATACTCCACCAAACAAGCTACCCAAATGGTCAAAAAACACAATCTTGGCTGGGCAGGGTCGTTCACGCCTGTAATCCTAGCACTCTTGGAGGCCAAGGTGGGAGGATCACTTGAGGTCAGAAGTCCGAGACCAGCCTAAGCAAGAGCGAGACTCCATCTCTAGCAAAAATAGAAAAAATTAGCCAGGCGTGGTGGTGCACACCTGTAGTCCCAGCTACTTGGGAGGCTGAGGCAGGAGCATCACTTGAGCCCAGGAGTTTGAGGTTGCTGTGAGCTAGGCTGACGCCATGGCACTGTAGCCTGGGTGACAGAGTGAGACACAACACTCTGTCTCAAAAAAAAAAAAAAAAAACCCCACTCTTTAGCTATAAGAAATATAAAAAATTTAAACCATAATGAGATTCCACTACAACTACCAAATTGCTGTAATTTGAAATGCTTGACAATGTAGTTCCACTACTAGTTACATATCCAACTCTTAGATATATAATTGTGGGATTCATTCAATGGAATACTATACAATAAAAATAAACAAACAATAAATATATAAACTATATAATAAATACATAAATATAATATAAATAATATTAACAAATATATAAACTATACAATGAAAATAAATAAACTATTGCTCTACCTAACAACATAGATAAATTTCACAATGTTGAACAAAAGAAGTCAGACAAAAGAAACACATGCTGTTTGATTCCATTTATATAAAGTTTAAAAACAGGCAAAACTATTCCGTGATGTTAGAAGTCAGGACAGTGGTACTTTTGAGGAGGAAAGAAGAAGTACATGGTTATGTTTACCTGGTGATAACTTATTCAGATATATGCTTACAACTGTATACTTTTCTATATGTTTGTTATATTTTAATTAAAAAGTTAATTTAAAAAAATATTTAAAACTATTTAGTATATGCCACTTTTTTACAGCTTATATTTCTGATCAGAGTGTTCTACTTACTCTATTGTAAAATTCTCTTTAAATTTTCTAGGGCAGTTTATAAAGAGGCCTGTAGCCAGTGGAGTTGCTAATAGGAATCAAATATTTGTCTTGGTCTTCTCTACTCCCCTTAACATAGCGTTGTACCCATAGAGACAGACGGACAGAGGGACAAATGAATTGATGAGAAGGATGGAGAAGTTGTCACGGCATTTTTTCCAAGTCCTTCCATTAATTCTTGTGTTGAAGAAAATGATGTGATAATTTCAAGAGTAAAGAACACTCTATTCCTCACAAAAATAAGCAGAAAAAAGATTCTCTAGTGGATAAGATCCACCCAGATCAATTAAATGAGAATCTCTAGCGGGGAGTTTTGGGTACTGGTATAGTTTTTAAAGTTCTCCCAGATGATTCTAATGTACAGCCAGCGCAGAGAACCACTACCCTAAAGCAATTTCTAAATACGGTGCTTAAGTTTAATTTAATAATTTAAAAATCTATGTGTAATATTTAACATTGTGGGAATTCATGCATGCACATTTGATGGGAGTAGTAGCACATGATAGTACTTGAACAGAGTACACACAGTGCAGTTTGAACTTCAGAGAAACTTTGTCTTTACCGATTGGTCTCTGTGTCTTTGACCTGTCAGCAACAGCTGGCGACCATGCACTTGAATTGTAGGGCTGGTTAATTAGACCCTTTGGAGAACTGAAATCTGTGAAACTGAAGTCATAAGGTCACAACTCTGTGTGAGTGTGAATGAATGATTTGCATGCTGGTGAAACTGCAAATCTATTCCCTCACATTGTTTGCTGTTTTTACCTCTTAAAATATAACTTAGCCTCAGCAACCAGACACTGAGAGCATTTCAAAATGCACTCTGTTACTAGGGCTTTTGTAAGACCAAGATAAACCTGAGAAGAGTTAGTAGCTGAGATGTATGTGTCTCTTCCTCCCTGGTGACTCCAGAAATCCAGAGGTTGGAGGCTAGGGGGAGAGCTGAGGGCTGTGGTAAGAACTGGGCTCCAGGTATTGTGAGAAACACTGAAGAATTAACTCAAAATTTCTAACATTGCAGTTTCTATTGTACATTTTTGAGTGGCAAACTAGAATGTATATGGAACACGTTTTGGGAATTTTTTCCCCTAAAATCATAAATTTTAAGAATTGAAGGACCTTTGGGAATCTAATCCATGCACCTCATTTTTACAGATAAGCAAACTGATGCCCAGATAGAATGAGTGACTTGTTCAAACTCACACAGCTAGGAAAGGCCAAATTAAGACAAAATTCTACTTCTGACTCCCAGTTCTGAGCTCTTCCCACCATAACATGCTATTTCTACTTTCTGTCAAAACTGTCCTGCCAATTTGTATGTTCCCCTACATATGTTTTTCAATTCCATAAAGCATTTATTTATTTAAATCCATCTTTAAAAATAAAACAACTCTGCCTTAAAGCATTGCTCCCTGCCATCCACCTATCCCCTACACCCCTCCACACACCCCTGCATCTTTGCCACGACTCACTTCCCCAAACTCCAGTGCCTGGGTGTTCAGAGTCCTGGAGTGTGAAGTTGCAGGCAGGAAACAGAAGGAGGCTGTAGAAGCTGGCAGGCATATGACTCTGGGGTGAGAGGAGTTTAGAAGCAATGTTAAGACATTTAGACAGTTGTCTACATTGTGACACTTGTGTGAAGAATGGATTTGGAGGGGCCAAGACTGGATGCAGAGAAGTTAGAAGGCTGATGCAGTGGTCAAGATAAATAATGAGAAGGTGAACTGATGAATTTAGGAGGTGAAATTGATAAAACTTGATCAGATATGAGGAAAAAGGGAAATGGAAGAGTCAAGAACGACAGTGTAGCTTATAGATGGTGGTGCCAGTAAATGAAAACAAGAATGTTGAGGAGGGAAGGAAAAGATGCTAAGTTCACTTTTGGACGTGTTGAGTTTGAAGTACAGATGTCTGGCAAAGCGTTGGATATAGCCAGCGTCACACTCAGGGGAGGGGTCTGAGTGACAGATAGCAGACTAGTGCACTTAGGAAGTAGAAACCCTTCAGGATTTCTGGGTGCCTGAGGCAGAGCTACAGGAGGTAGGGGTTGGAGAAACAGGTAGTACCCAACCTTGATCTTTAAGATCTTAGGTGCTGGACTACGGCGTTGGAACTTCACCTTACAGGTTGTGGGTCCAGTAAAGGATTTAAGCAACAGAATAGCATGAACAGATCTGATTTATGGAGATGACTTTAGTGGCAGTGTGGAAGATGAATTTGGACAAAGGAAAGAGTAGAAGCAAATAGACAAATAAAAAGTTATTTGAATAGAGAAGAATAAAAAATGGTTAAAACTTGAATGTATATGGCAGCAACAAAGTCATGAGGGAGAAAAAAGCATATGATGCACACAGGGATAATTCACAAATTCAACAAATATATATGGCAGTATAAAAAATATAGTCCTACATGACTATTTGCAGACTTCCACCCTCCTCTAGCCTTTTATGTAGGGACTTTGAGCTTGTTTTGAGAGAAGAGAGTATGTGAGTGAGACAGCTCAACTACCATGCTGTGAAAAGGAAATTTTAGAGGAAATGGATGGGTAAGAGGCTTTCAGTGCATTCTGCTATGCGTCATACTCTGTAATCACCCCATGGTATTTGGGGGGAGATTACAGTAAAGGTTTACATTACTTTTCATTTTTTTTTCTTATTGATGCTGTACTGGGCAAAGATGGTACTTCAGACAGGAGCAGGTTACTTTTACACTAATAGAATGAGTAGGACTTGGTGGCCTATCAATTGTGGAAGGTGACAGAGAGGGAGGAGTCCAAGATGACTGGACAGTGACTGGTGATTGGAATTCTGGTGATGTTTACTGACAAAGAGCCATGGTGTGTCAAGATCAGGGAAATGGCGGCACAGTCCATTTTGATCACGAGGAGTTTGAGGTACTTGAGGGATGGTCAAGTGCAGAAGCCCAGCAGGTGATCGCTGTTCTGTGACTGTTCAGGAGATGGCTCTGGGCTGGACATAGAGACTCAGGATTCACTGGCATTTTTGTGGCATTTATCACAGCTAAGTGTACATATATATGAACATAATGGGCAAAAGAAAATGAGATCAAGAGCAAGACCGTGGGTGAAATTCTCATTTAAGGGATGGTCTAAGAAACAGGAGCTATTAAAGAGGCTATGTAGACACAGTCAGATGTGAAGCAGAAAACCCAGGACAGCAGGTGTCATAGAGGCCAGGGGAAGAAAGTGTTTCAAGACAGAGGGAGTGGTCATCAGTATCAAATGTCACAGAAAAGTAAAGATAGTTGACGGTTAAGTGACTGGGTTTAGCAATTAGAAGGAGCTATGGTCTGAATGTTTGTGTTTCCCAAAATTCGTATGTTCAAATCCTAATCCTCAGGTTGATGGTACTAGGAGGTGGGGCCTTGGGGAAATGGTCATGTCATGAAGCTGGAGCCCTTATGAATGGGATTAGTGCCCTTAGAAATGAAGCCTAAAAGAGATCCTTCGCTTCTTCCACCATGTGAAGATGCAGTAAAAAGGCACCATCTGTAAGGAAGTGGGCGCTCGCCAGAGACCAAACCCGCAGGCACCTTGATCTTGGACTTCCCAGGCTCCATAATTGAGAGAAATAAATTTCTGTCTTTTATAAGCCACTTAGTCTATGGTATTTTGTTATAGCTGCCTGAACTTACACAGGAGGTGGCAATTACTCTCTCAGCAAAGGAAATTTCAAGGGGATGATGGAGAAAGAATCCTGATTCTTTCAATGGGTAGAGGAAAGAATGAATGAGAGACAAGAGTAGAATACTCTCAGAAGCAGCTGGTTTGTGAAGGAGAGAGAGGATACAGGATGACGTTAAAGGAGGGAGATACAGGGCTAAGGGAGGCATTTTGTTGGGGGTATTTTGTTTGTTATTTATTTTGAAAATGATTGAGACTAGAGTATATTTATAAATGAAGGGGTAGAAAGGCTGATTAAATTCATAGGAAACTTGGATGTTTGTAGACGCAAAGTCCCAGAGGACAGTAGCAAGGATAGGAAGTTAGTGCAGAGTTTATACTTAGACCAGAGGGATGCAGGGCGGAGGGTTGCAGATGACAAGAGGGTTGGTGAAGTTGGGGCAGTGAAGGGAGTTCACAGCAGGTGGCAGTAAGGAGATAACAGGGGGAATATTCTGGAATCTATACTCAAGTGAATAGTAGGTATAATTTCCTTCAAGAAGCAAAGTGGGGGTTTTGAATGCCCACTGCGCTGTGTGCTAGGGGCTTACTAATACAGAACCGGTAGGATGCCACGGCTCTCGCAGTTGTCTCTGGAACTCACCTGCAAACTGCTGAACTTTTGTCCCTTCCTCTCTTCCCGCTTACCCTTTCTCCCCATCCCTCTGCCCTTCTTCTTTTGTTTATTCCTCTCCTGTCTGTATTTTGTCTCCCTCCTTCTGCCTCTGCCATGGGCCCCTTTCTGCCTCTTCTCCCTGGCTCCCTTATCTGCACCTGCATCGCACTTGACTCCATCTGTTCCTTTTCCCTTCTCTCCTTCCTCAAAACAGCCCAAACAAGGAAACAAAAGTGGTTTTTAGCCTCTTATGTTTATTGATTAAATATTTGTTTCCTCTGTTTAATTTTTGCAATAAGGTGAAATTTTTATGCTTCTTTCTCTGGAACTAAAGGTGTTATGAGTTGCAGTTAGCTTTGCTCTGTTGGTTAATGACCCTTGATGAAATAAACCTTCCCCACCTCTGTTAGGGCCCACACTGAAGGAAGCAGAATGTTTCATTTGCAACAGATACAATCTTTATTTTGCACATACTGGTGACTCCATGAGAAAGAGAGGGCTGTATGATAGTCTTCAAGACGATAATATGCTTTCCAAGTTTGCATGCATTGTACTAGCAAATAAAATATAAAGAACAAGAAAAAAAAACAGAAAGTGCATATCAATATCCATACATTCAGTATTACAATTGAAATTCAAATGATGGGGGAAATTGTTTAAAATCTGGCCAAAGAACACAGGTTGTTTCTGGAAATGTCGTGCTTTATGCTGTCCGTTGCTAGCCAAGAAAATCAGTGTCCTCTTCATTCCTCTGGCCTGGCAACAAAGAGAATTGAAGGCCCCATGTCGTCCTGGTAACAGCAGGTGACACTCCCCAGACTGCTGAGCGGGCCCTACTCAGCCCACACATGGCACCACGGGTCCTAACTCTGGCCGTGGACTCTTTGGAGCAGAAACACAACTAGGTTTGACACTGACTTTGGCTTAAGGCCGTGAGTTTTCAACTGTGCTTCCACAGAACCGACCCTCAACATTGACGACGATTTCTGTGGAAAGTGGTTATGTAAAAATTGCATCCACTGTTGCTAAATTCTGAGCCCGGTCCAATGACAGCCTAAATGGTGGTGTCATTACCTTTATAAAATAGTGCTCAAATTTTATAACTTCTAAATAGCACCTCTAATTATATGCTTCTTGCTTAAATGTTTTGACATGCCCTTTCTAAAGAAATCTTTAATTTAAGAAAATATTTAATTTTTATAAGAGAAAAATTAGGAGTGGAAAGAAAATCTTCAGAGAGCCCCAGGGTACGAAGCTGATGAGGGCAGCCCAGAGGAAGTTCAGGTTCAGACGCCCAGAAATGCAGGCTGCCTTGGAAGGGTGGGAGCATGTGCCCCTAGGGGTGGTGATTCAGCAGCCCAGGGATGTGAGAAAACAGTGGACTGTGTGAGTGATCTTCACAGCTAGCGATGAGGCAAGAGCTGGAAAGCAGCCCTTACAAAACTGTAGAGAAGACCAAATTTGTCTTTTTGTTTTCAAACCTTTTGAACTGTTTCACAGATGCTCACTGCAGACAGCACTCTACCCTACAAATTTATGCTTCCTACATACTCTTCACACTCTCCTTTCCTCCCGTGCCTGGATCATTGCTATCTTTCACAGAAGAAATGAATGTAATAAAATAACTCACAGTAAATTACTAATTGGAGGGAAACTGACATCATTCCATTCTTTTGGTAGTATTTACATTTTAAAGGAGGGCATTAGAAAGCAATGCCCAGCCCAAAGAAGACAAAATTTTGGAGAATTTCAGCTGGTATAGGGGGCAATTAGGGAGGTGCTTGAGGGCAGGAAGAACATACTCCTATACTCCTATCCCTGGGGACTGTCGCATGGTGGTTATCTATTCACCGTGTTTTGTAAAAAATGATCTTGTGGCATGGATCCATCAAAATTATTTTGAAGTGGTATCTACATTGTCCAAAAGGACCTTGAGCCTGTGTTTTCCCTTTTAGCCCACTTCCGAGACTTAAACCCTGATTTCTTAAGAGGATCTCAAGGCAAAAGTGGCTACAAATGTAAACAGAGTACTTATTTATACAGATCTGATATCATGAATATTTAAAGACAAAAACAATGTCAGGCCCCAATTTGGTCATTCTTGAGAGTTGAAACCGTCGAGTCGCTGTGCAGTTTATTTTGGCGGTTTGATAGGACCAGAGCTCCCTTCACAAAGGGCAAGGCTCTCCTTACATCTAGTTTAAGATGGTTTTCTTTTAAATAAATAATTTTTGCTTGCTAACTTATGCTTTTCTCTCACTTTTCCCCCTTTCCCTTCTCCCACTTACATTTCTCAGGACAAATGTTGCCTTTCACTTCACTGCCAGCCCCTCTCAACCTCAGGTAAGTGAAGGGTTCCAAGAGTTATCAAGCGTCTACCTGTTGGTGTTGCCCAGAGAAACCATGGTAACAGGTAGAGTCAGCATGTGGTGTTGCCCTTGATCTTTCACAACTTGAGATATATTTGTATTCTGGTTTGTTATTCATGTTACTGGGATTTTGGATACAACAACATTTAATCTTACCACCTTAAATGGTGTAAAATGGGAGGTATGATATTTGTTTTTAGGTGTTCCTTGGTTCAACCTTCATTGAGCAAATCATGTGCCTACTTTGTACCAATCCCTGGCCCCAGTTTGGTCATTCTTGAGAGTTGAGACCACCAAGCCCCTGTGCAGTTGATTAGACCATACTTGGTGCTAGGGACACAAGGATGAAGAAGAGAGAAACACAATTCCTGCCATTATAGATATATATATAGAGAGAGATTATAGTTGGGAAGAAAGGGGACAGGAAGTGGAAGGCTGACACTAAACAGATACACAAATAATAACTCACCTGGAAATACAATAAAAATAAGACTGATTTTAATTTTTACAATGTCATGAGTGAAATAAATTAGTTCCACCCATAACATATGATATTAACCTGCTGTGAATTTATGACAATCACTGATGTGCTGATAAATATTTAACAACTGGTTCTCAGAAAGAAAGCCCTGATTTGT